GAGAGAGAGAGAGAGAGAGAGAGAGAGAGAGAGAGAGAGAGAGTGTATACATCTATCTCTATAAGAAAACACTGCATTCACTTTACAGCTGAGACCCAGAAATCAGATGGCACCTTCAAAACAAAATCAGATGAATGAATACAGCCATTTGCCCCAGGTTCCCCCACCACCACTTATTCCACAATGCCATCTCATTATCACCATTGTATTCTCTGCAAATAAGCCAACTGCACAATTTGAATTGAGAATCCAGCCACGTTGGAATTCAAGCAACATTTTTCTTTAAAAACCAAACAAAAGGCTTTACTTGTGTGTTGCTGTAAAATTACCTCTGCTGTGCCTTCATCAATAAAGTGTTTGCTCTATAAAAATCCACATGTCTTTTAAGAGTTATATACCCTTCTGTATACAAGCAAAACAATAGATTCAGAAGGACTCCTCTGAAAGCATTCACAGCCTCCATTATTATCATTATCATTGTCATCCTTCCCTTTATTATTATTATTATTATTATTATTATTATTATTATTATTATTATTATTATTATTATTATTATATGGCCTGTTTTTATTAAAGATGTAAGGAGACATCCATTAGCTGCACTAGGTGTGTTAATTATCTATAGGTGCATTCAACATTACATCCCAGTTAGTTTAGCCCAGGCTTCTTCATTTCTTGCTGAGATCCAATCCTCAGTGAAAATATTTACAGACCCCCTCCCATCCTGGACATAAATGGTTTCAACTCCTACCTTCAAAATGATGCTATAGGACACTGCACACCAGAACAACTAGACACAAGGACAGTTTTTCCCCGAACGCCCATCACTCTGTTAAACAAATAATTCCCTCAACACTGTCAAACTATTCACTAAGTCTGCATTACTATTATTATTAGTCTTCTCATCATCCCTATCACCCATCTCCTCCCACTTATCACTGGTATGACTATAACTTTGTTGCTTGTAACCTTACTATTTATATTGACTGTTTCCTAGAATGATTTGATTGCTTATTTGTACCCTATGACTATCACTAAGTGTTATATCTTTTTATTCTTGATGAATGTATTTTATTGTCCTTATGTACACTGAGAGCATATCCACCAAACACAAATTCCTTGTGTGTCCAATCACACTTAGCCAATAAAGAATTCTATTCTATTCTCAGAAAATGACTGCAAAGTTTTCCAAGCCATTTAAACACCTGTTTTCCCTAACCCAATTCTGTGAAGGAAGTATATGGGGATGAATCACAAGTGAACCAACTTCAAAGCTGTCAGGGCATCTCCTTTGAGTGTAGATTATGTTATTATCTGAGTCAACAGAAGTAGAGTGTCAGCCCTCACTTCTGGAAGCGTGCCAGCCAAAGATTGCCTCTGCATCTGATGGGGCAGGCAGGCCTCGCCTACTAACATTTGTCCCACACCGAAAGCGTTAGCCCAGCATTTCCACAGCAAACCTTCACTGCAACATTACCTCGGCATTCCTATATCTACTTATGCAGAAATGCCATTACGCCATGCTATTATGCTCAATGGGTTTATCTGTAGGTAACAGCCTTCACTAATAATCTAGCGTGTCACTGATCTATTTGCTTATATTGTTTTTTAAAAAACCATCCTTTAGTTATTTATACAGTGCTCATTACTATTCAGAAATCGCACTATAGAATAAATCTAGAAAGCAGAATTTCCTTTTTTGTTTTCACCTTACTGTGCATAAGTGGTTATCAGTTGAAGATTTGGGTTTCCCCAATTTGTTCTTTCACCTGAAGAGATCAATAAAATGCTTATTTTGATAGGCTTTCTGGAAAAGAAAAAACAACTCAGCTCCCCAAAAGCTTTATCCACCGACCAAATTCAGAAGCACATCTATGTACCCTGGGAAGAATCTTGAATACTCTCCCAGCTGAGATGTTCTTATGAAATAGGAGTAACTCCAGGATCATCTCCAAAAATAATAAACATCCAAAACTCCAGAGGAAATAACTATCAGCTTAGCTGTACCGTACAGGAGAGGAACGACAGCTCCTTCTTCCAAGATTAAAAGACAAAGCTTACACTTTTCCAACTCAACTGGCATTTGCGAGAGGGAGGGAGGAATATCACAAACTTCAGTTGCACTTTAGGGCAAGTTTTGCAAAAACATTTAGCGTCCCACGCCCCACTTAACGCGGAAAAGACTGCCATTAATTCTGAAACCAAACTCAGCAACCCACTCCCAGTTCATTAAATCAGCTCGTTCTTTTAAAAGGAGGAAATAAATAACTGAAGGGGGCTTGGATTGACCATTTCTAGTTTCCTAAACTTCCCCCGCTCCCTTGGTTGTCTGTGAGAAAGAGCGGCTGAAAAATCGCGGCAAAAGCCAAACTTCGAATCCCGTCGCTCCCGAAACGTAGCGAGGTAAAGGGGGGAACAGTCCACTTACTCAACGTCATTAGACATGGTCCACCCAGGTTTTCCAATGTCGGCTTGGCCAAAAGATGGTTTAGTTTCCTTTCCCCTCCTTGGCTGAAGCGCTCCTAGCACCGTCTAAAGAGAGTCATCAGCTGTAAAGTGAAGACTTTCTTTCAAGTTAGAGGTTTATGTTGTACAGGCGTTCTGCTGACAGGTAGGGTTCTGTCAGATTCTCGCGCCTGATTGGCTGAGAGAGACAGGTGCCAGGAGACAGGTACACCTCAGCAGGTGCAGCAGTTAACCCTTTCCAAACCGGGCAGCGAGGAAGAACTGCCATATCGGGAACAGTGCGCGCGCGCGCGCGCGTGTGTTTGTGTATGAATTAAAAGAGGTCTTGGGGGTGGGGGAGAGAAATAAAGCGCAGAAAGACCAAAAGTGTAAGGTTTTTTTCCCCTCATAAAAAACTTCGTTTTGTGCTCCTCAGGAGGAAAGGTTTTAAGGCCGTGGAGGGAGACAATTTGCTAGCACCTCTGCCCTTCTTAACTGATGCAGAAAAATGTCATTCTGTCTGCAGCCAGCAAGGGCATTATGTGGTATCTGCCCCCCCCCCCAAGAATGGGGGGGGAGGAGGCAGAAGAAGGGATTTTAAAAGGCGAAAGTTTTTTTTTTTTTTTACTCTTGGACCTAGCAAAGCTGCACCAGCAAAATTTCAGTTTTAAATGGTTTATTTAGTCAGGTGGCCAGACCGAATAAAATATCCAGTCATAGAATTGCTTCAAATTTCAGTTTTAAATGGTTTATTTAGTCAGGTGGCCAGACAGCATAAAATATCCAGTCATAGAATTGCTTCATGTATCTACCCTGTTTCCCTGAAAATAAGACCTCCCCGGATAATGAGCGCATGCGCTAAAATAAGCCCTCCCCTGAACATATTGCAACACAGCAGCAGCCATGAGGTGACTACGCTCACAGCCTCCTGCACCTCAAAAATAATAAGACCTCCCCCCAAATAAGGACAAGCACTTGTTTCGGGGGTCAAAATAAAATAAGACCCTGTCTTATTTTGGGGAAAACACGGTATCTATCTATTTATCAAAGGCAAAGGACAGGATCAAAATATAAATAAGAATGTACAAAATAAAATGAAAATGGTATTATAATGACTGATGCAAACATCCAAACTGATCCACCATTAATAGTGTTGATAGTGTTAATCTTGTTAATAGTTTGCCGTATTATACAAAGGACGACACAGAACTAGACAATCTGGGACATCATTTTGAATTCCTCTCTTTTCTTCAAACATACACATTACATACAATACCTTATTCTCCATATTGCACCTGGCCCATAAGGGCTGATGTGAGAATATAGGAAGAAATCTTATTTTGTGTGAGGGAATAGGCCTATCTCACCCACCGCAGCAGCAGCATGGAAAGATCTAGAAAAAGACTCTGAGACACTGAGACTCTAGAAAAAGTGCAGAGAAGAATCACCAGGATGATTAGGGGACTGGAGCAGTGATAGGTTTTTATTTTTTTCACTACTGGTTTGCTCATGTGCAAGCGCGACACAGAGGCGTATGGGTGAGTGGGTGGAGCCTTCCGGCACTACTACTACCAATTTGCCCGATCTGGGCCGAACCAGGAGCAACCCACCTCTGTACTGGAGGCTAAAATATATGAAGAACTGTTACAGGAACTGGGCATGGCTAATCTAGTGAAGAGAAGGACCAGGGGAGACATGAGAGCAGTGTTCCAATATTTGAGGGGCTGCCACAGAGAGGAGGGGGTCCAGCTATTTTCCAACGCACTTGAAGGCCCGACAAGGAATAATGGATGGAAACTAAACAAGGAGAGATTNTCCAGTCCAGTCCAGTCCAGTCCAGTCCTGTCCAGTCCAGTCCAGTCTAGTCTATCCCAGATTTTCATCATTACATTAGGCTGGATGTTGCCCATGTTGGTCCAGAAACAGGAATATTGACCGAGAAAGAGTCCAAAATCTCAAGAAAGTGGGCGGGGCTTTGATTGTATGGATATGGCTGTGATTTTAGTTTTGTTTTTTTTACCCTGACCTTGTGAAGCCCACCTTTATTTGGGTCTGAAAGGACCACTATGTAGAAGATTTCAAGGACAGCCATAGTCAGCGATCCTCTTGATCAAACAAGGGGGGGGGAATCAAACTATCATATGTCCTGCAATAGGGCAGACTCTCCATCCAAACAACCATGTAATTATGTTTTATGTCCCACAGGGAATTCCAGGGAAGAAGAGGAGCAGAGTGCCCCCTCCCTAACAAGAAAACAATTGTCAGCCATCACTGAGGAAGCTCTTGACATGATACAAAATGCATTTCCATTTCAAACATCATAACTGATGTTTGAAGGACAAGAAGCAAAGGACTGAAACTTATCAAGGAGAGAAGCAACCTAGAACTAAGGAGAAATTTCCTGACAAGTGGGAACAATTAAACAATGGAACAACTTGCCTCCAGAAGTTGTGAATGGCTGCAATACTGGGAATTTTTAAGAAGATGTTGGACAACCATTTGTCTGAAAGGATATAGAGTTTCCTGCTTGAGCAGGGGGTTAGACTAGAAGACCTCCAAAGTCCTTTCCAATCCTGTTATCCTATTATTTTGTTAACCATAGTCCCAAGACTTCCAAAGGACACCAGTTTGTTAAAGAGTGAAGGCAAGAGTTTTTCCTCACCTCAGTTGAGAAAAAGCCTTCCCAGAAAGATCCACTCGGCTCTTTTGGACTTGCGATGTTCTCCAAAAATCTAAAATTTGTCCAACGGAGCCCCTCAGCCCTCACCTGCCCCAGCCTAACCCTAAAGATAACTGTCACTAATTGCAGATTGTCTCCGCATTCGGTGCCTTCAGGTGGAACCCATCAGCATCTCTGTGGATGGTCCCCTTGATCCACCCTTTGAAAGGGATGGCCTGCATATTCAAGAGGTCTAAAGAGACAGTTGGGGCATCAGGACAGAGACCACAGAGAAGAGGCATCACAATGTGGGGCTCTTTTATCAGGCACTGAGTTCAACATTACAATAGAGGAGACACTGTCCCAGTCAACTATCTTTCAAAGGGACGGTGGAAAAATCAAGACCTTTTCTTACTTGCTGTGTAAACAACCCTACACATTCATTATTGTCAGGAAGATTTCAAAGGAAAGCTGTAGAATGCACATTCTTCAAAAGGATGGAGTTTTTTGCAGGGCAGGGGGGAGGTAGGGAAGAGAACATAATGTAAATCTTTCTCTTATGACTATAACCGTGTTGCTTGTATCTTTAAAATTTACGTTGTTTTATTTGTTCCCTAGTATAATTTGATTGCTTAACCTATGACTATCACTAAGTGTTGTATCTTATCATTCTTGATGAATGTGCTCTATTTTATTTTTGTTTATGTACACTGAGAGCATCTGCACCAAAGACAAATTCCTTGTGTGTCCAATCACACTTGGCCAATAAAGAACTCTTTTCTATTCTATTCTTGTTCTATTCTATTCTATTTTGGAGGCTCTGAATTGTTTGGATCATAGTGGTGATGGTTTATGCAAAACATCATTCTTTTCCCCAAAGGGGTTTCCTTTAAACAGAACAATTGCCTTAGGAAAGGCATCATTTGAAAGACATGGGTCTTCCATATGGATAAGTGTGTGTGTGTGTGTGTGTGTGTGTGTGT